GTGCTTGCTTAGGTTGGATGAATCGTAGATCGTACAAGCATCAGCCTAAGAATAGAAATTCGTTTCCACTAATCGAGCGTTGAATTGAATGACTGCTCGAGTGTCCGACAGGGAAATGTCTTTATTGGTGGACCTTTGTCGGATTGCCTACTGCTATTTAGTATGGTTTGAATATCCTGGTAGGTTTCAAGCACTGTGGTGTCATCTTCAGGAATGTGACGTGCTCGACAGGGTTTCGCCGATCGGTACTCGTCAAATGACTGGCAATTTCAAGACACAGCTCAGTGTCGATTAATGGTTTGCAAAAATGTGTTGGCCGGGGTTTTTAAGCAAACTGAGTGTTGAGTCCATAAAGCTTGGTTAATTATTCGGTGCTGTGGAGCTCGGATTCCGATGGTCCTGATTTGAAGGGCATTTAGTAATCGGAAATCTTTAGTGACTAATCTTAATCAGAGACAGCAGCACAGATCTAGGAAATTACATCAACTTTATCCAGTCATTCGCGTTACGTCTGCGTGGAGTGGTGTCTATTTCAAAGCCATTAGACAGACATAGAGCCCCTCAGTAATCCACAACAAGTGGAAATTCGATCGAGTTTCTAACCATGACCGAATAAAGCCCTCACGCCTGCCGTCAACGTGAACAGCCTCAGTACGCTTTCCATGATTCGGTGGGATAAGGTTTCCACTTACGAGGGCTGAAGCACCACCGGTCTGCGAACAAGTGCCACGCCGAGAATGATCTGTATGCACATAGATTCCCTCATATAAGCATGTGAATGATACTACTAGGTAACTTAGTGATTGTTGGTATGTTTGCCGACCTCGGCAATTTAATTACAAACGTTTGACCATTCATCTAGTTGACACAATCAGTGCCCAGTTTGGAACCGGAGAGGAAAGTTGCAGTGTCCGCAGAGGTCACATATATGCCACTCCGGCAACGACCAGTTTACGAAAGCAGATTGGGCCAGGTAGAAAAATCACGTGGTCACCTAGCAACCAACACACCGGATAGCATATCTGGTCATCGAATCGCTCACCCATCAACCAATCGTGTTCGGATATCAGTCTAGGTTAGCGGCACATGCATTACCCACAGGCGCCACTATCCTACACTCAAATACTGAATACCCATCACGCTCATCATCAACGCACTGTTGATATTCCTTTGATTATAGAAGAAAAACTTGCGTTCTTATTGCCCAGGCAATTGTTTAAAACAGTGACCGTCAACACTGCCTGAGATCCATCTCTCAGAAGTATTCCATCCATTGACGNTCACAGATGGGAATACATGGTTTTTTCCTCCACAATTACCAGATGGCTTTTCAAATCTCGTCCTCTTTATATATCCATCTTCCTCTGAGAGCCACCAATCCATGCCTGGTTTTGACCACATACAATAGGTCAACATGACCTACAAGATTGTTGGTTGTAAGAAATTCAACAATCTGGTGTTTCCCACTCCCCCCGAGAACAGAGTAAACATAGTGTTTAAACAGGCAATTAACTGAAAGCATTTTCGTCAGGTTTATTTGCTCTTGTTCTGGTCTACTTTGTATCTCTTATGGGGGAGATTATTTGCCATGGTACTCAGTCTCCGTTACTGGCGTGCCTGGTCTATTCATATCTTCCTTCTTCAGTATATCTTTGTAATGTACTATTCATAAGGTTGCTGAAAATCCGTCGACAGCCCGCGACCGGTTTCGTCCTTCTTGGGGCTCATCAGGTAGGCGCAGTCCCCGGGTTTCCGTCAACCATATGTTCTAAATGAAACAAGATTGTAAGAAATTAGCGAATATATGCTTAACTGCAAACTGATTTGGTTTTTACGAGAGACTTACATGGAACCCAGCTGAATCTCTCGTTTATGATGTTCTCAGGCAACTGAATGTGCTGCTTCTTTATTCAGTTATCAACCAAGGACTATCGCTTGTAATGTGCGCTCAAAACACAGAAAATTTGTGAAAACCGTCTAATTATGGATAAGTTTTGATGATAAATTCAACCGCCATTCCGCTCAATTTCATTTAATCGCCTGTTTAAAAGAGACATGCATGAGTGAAAGACGCATAGGTAGGAATTGAATGAGACACGTCTTGCAAAACCAGTCTGGATTGCGTTACAATGAGAGAGTATACCGATGCATCTGACTTCTACACGAAGGCATACTCTATGAGGAAACGGAGACAAAACAACTGCAAGTAAGTCCAAGAGACATCCGGGATTTTCTTATCTAATGCTCTCAGTGAAGTGATGTATTTCTTCATTGTCACTCGCCATGCCCAGCACTGGTCTAGCTCGAACTAATATGAGTTGGTGAAATTGAGACATTTCCGGTCGAATAGAAATTATGGAGCAGATCTATGGTCAAGTCGCAGTTTCATGATCCACTGGTCAATATTCGTAATGCGGATGGACGATTTCAATATACAGCTCCGTCTCCTTGAGTAATTTGCCGGTGGTATTCCGACGATTTTTCGCTAACTTCGTAAATCGGTGGCAAATATTAAATAAAGATGAACGCTCGCCGGAAATGGCTGTTGCGCGGTTTTGCTAAAACTGTGGTTTTGAATGTAATTTGGCATGGTGCATTTTCAATAGCAAGTGTGCTCCGTCTTACCAAGTTTTCTGAATGGAATGCACACTCACAAGGCATTATCCTCTCTTGAGCGTTCGAACGACAAATCGGATAGATCGTACCAGCATCAACCCAATAATAGAAATTCGTTCCCACAAGCCAAGCACTGAACTGATTGATTGCTCGATTGTTCGACCGGGAAATGTCTTTATCGGTGGCATTTTATCGGATTGCCTACTGTTATTTGATATTGTTTGAGTTTCTGTTTCAAGCACTGTGAGGTTGTTTTCAGGAATCCGACCTGCTTGGTAGTATTCGCCAAGGGTGACTGGCAATTTCAAAACACAGCTCCATGTCAATGACTGGTTCGCGAAAACGTGTTAGCTGGTGTTTTCAAGCAATCTCAGTGTTGAGTCTATAAAGCCTGGTCACTTACTCGATGCTGTGGAGTTCGGATTGCGACGGTCCTGACGTGAAGCGCATTGAGTAATTGGAAATCTTTGGTGACCGATCATAGTCAGAGGGCAGCAGGATAGACGTAGGAAATAACACGGACTTCAACCAGTCATTCGCGTTACGCTTGTGTGGCGTCGTGCCTGTTTTAAGCAGACGTAAAGCCCCTCACTAGTCCACAACCAGTGGGAATCCGATTGAGCTTCCGAATGAAGCTCTAGTGTCTGCCTTTAACATGGAGAGCTTCGATACCCTCTCCATGACTGGATGATGGGATATTGTATCCACCCACGAGGGCTGCAGCACCACCCTATATCCACCGGTCTCTCGAAGAGGTGCCGTGCCGAGAACGATCCGTATGCACTTAAATTCCGAGTGACAATCTCACTCCCTCTCATATAAACATGTGAATGTAGTAACGGCGTCAATTCCAATACCATTCAGTGATTGTTGGCGTGCTTGTTGACCACAGCATTTTGATCAAAAACGTTTGACCATACATCTAGTTGACACAATCAGTGTCTTGTTTAGAAGCAGAGCGGAACGTTGCAGTGTCCGTAAGAACGCAACCAGAGAGTTCACATACAGGCCACTCAAGCACCGACCGATTTCCGAAAGCAGAGTTGACCAAGTCGAAAATCGGGTGGTCAACTATCAATCAGCCCACCCGATAGCGTATCTGGTCATCGAATCGCCCGATGCAACAACTAATCGTGTTCGCAAGTCAGTCTAGGCTAGCGGCACATACACTTGCTCACAAGCGCCACTGTCCGACACACAACCACTGAATATACCCACGCTCATCATCAACGCATTGTTCATATCTCTTTGATTATTGATGAGACGCTTGCAATCGAATTGCACAGGCAGAGGATTAAATCAGTGACCGTCTACACTACCTGAGATCTATCTCTCAGAAGTATTCCATCCATTGACGAGCTGATGTTCACGTGATGTTTCACTATCTTGTGGTCAGTATGGCCTGAATTGGTGTGGGCATTGGGATCCCGTTGGGGGTCAGCAGACCCGGAACCGGTGTATAGGAGCCCCGTTGTCCCACGATTTGGTGTTTGTACAATTCTGTCATTTAATTGTTGTATTCGTAGGACCACGTTCGTTGATAAACGTCCATCGGAACGATTAGACTTTCAGGGCTTTGCGGGGGAGTTCTTACCTAAGAATGATGTCTAATCGTCGAATGTTTAGAGCATTTGTTTCTCATTGATTTGGTTACATTTGGGAAAGACCTCACTTAGATTGAATGCGAGTGAATATCTGCAGCAGTTCGGACAACACAAAAGAGGCTGGACATGCCAGCAGAACAACAGGGGGATAGCTACGCGTGCTGGGGTTACTTTATGTTGACCACGAGGAGTTGGGCTTTAAATCTGAACCGAAAGTCGGCATTTTCCAACGCACAAAATATGGCAGCACCTGTGCGAAAGGAGGAAGCAATGGCAATACATCTTATTAAAGTATGTGATTTTGGAGTAATTCAAATTTGTCCTGTATTTCTACCGCTGAATATAATGAGGCGAAACACTGTGGTGTAAGTACTACACGGGATTAGCTTCTTCGCGTCTCTCAATTAGAAACCTCAGTGTGATCCACAAATTACGAGATATTTTTCGTGACGATTGATTTCCCCGTTGTTTAGACATCGCAACATGTTGCCTAATTCAATTCTGTATAGGTTTAGTAAGTATATGCATTCGAGCTATTTTGGGATATTTTGTTACAATTCCGCGGTTCGACTGCCTTTAGTAACAATTGGTTGTATCCCCAAATAGCGTCCGATCACCTGGACTGTCTCACCCAAAATGTAAATCACGACAATCCTGATAGACTTGGGGTTGGTTACTGAACAACACTGTGGCTCATTCATTTTGCTAATCTGGATGATGAACAAAATGGTTGATTTTGATGAAATTTAAAGAGTTACATCGCTTAGATGTATCTAGTCATTTTGTTTGAGGTAATGTCTAGGCTGGATATCCATTCACCGCCCACAACGTAGGGGGCAGTGCTTCAGAACAAGTTGGTCCTATTTGAACTACTGTGGTGAAAAAGCCTATATAATGCTGGTTTTATTGACATGCCTCAGCAAATTCCTCCAACAAACGAACGCGATAACTTCGGAAGTAAAGGTTAGAATGGTCCATACACAATGAACACAACACTCGTCATTTTCCCCACAAAGATAATTCAGAGAACCCTCATCATTAACGGGGATTTTTGTAAACCTCAACCGACATCCGTGTGCGAGATTACAGTCAATAAATAAATGCGTCAGTCCGTTGTTGATAAAAGAGGGTCTACATAAACCACCGGTATTAGAGCAAATTACGCAAGTTCATTTACGCACACGGAATTAAATGGATTCGGCAAATCTCCCAATCCAAAACAGAAAGCATCCACACGCAAATGCATGTGGCACTCTTCACCATAGCTCTTACCAGCAAGTTCATTTACGCACACGGAATTAAATGGATTCGGCAAATCTCCCAATCCAAAACAGAAAGCATCCACACGCAAATGCATGTGGCACTCTTCACCATAATTTGCTCTTACCAGTGGTGGGGCGGTTCCCAACATTGGCTTGGGAGGAGCTATTTTTGTTCCCTTACTATTCACGGTCATCTCCAAATGCACGCTGCATTACCAAGGTCATATTTTTAAACATGATGCTTTACAGATGAAAATTCTATGCTCTCCCATTTTCGACAATCTCAGTCGAATTCCCTGTTGAAATGGATACAGTGGCTCAACGGAGAGTAGACGAAAATTCGGGAAAAATCAGTTCGTTTGAAATGCCCGAGTTTACCAAACGACTATTATGATGTTTGCAAGTCCTGGAGGAGTCCGAGGTTTGTTCCCGATATTGATTTTTTAGCTCAGATTTGATAACCACTGAATAGTGTATCCGCTTTTTCTAAAATTAAGTACGGCGGGAATCGCAGATGAGTTGCAGTGTTCATTTTGCTCCTGAACGTATGAGATTTTGTCCGCCGGGGTTTTGAACTCAATAGAATACCTACGAAAAGGGTACATTGAAGCAACCAAATTGATTTGCAAATGAGTGTATTTCCAAACGAATAATCTTTTTGGGAATATTTAATATGGGTGAACAACAGTATATATATACATATATATGTATATATATATGTATATTAAATGCCAGAAAAAACCAAAGCCTATATATATTGACGAAGCTATATTTACATATTTATCTAGTATGTGATGGCGATCTATGCTGAAAATTCAACGAATACTGTACAGCTGCTTCATTATCACCGAACGATTCCAGCTCTGCGCACCCCCTGAAAACCCAGTGGGAAATTAAGAACTCGCAACATCCAGGAAAGTCATTTGAATATTTAACATTTAAGCCACGGGTGGTAAGGTATACTTTAGTGGTGAAATCCACGTAAAATTAGTGGCTCTACAAGTGGCGAACTTTCAGGTGGAAGTTTGACCCAACTTGTGTAATTATTTGTCCCCCATTCTACATATAGATCGCAAGTACTGATCGCTACATGTTCACACAGTGAGCTGTGAGGCCACGGATTCAAAACTTTAGCAAATTCATTGAAGTGCACACTGATGATGATGCTCATTAGGCATGAAAAATCTGTACAGTGCTTCTTGACTTTACAGGGCAAACTGGCCTCACGTAAGTAATAAACTATCACGTGAACTTTCACAGAACGTATCACACCACCTAAATACACGCATACACTAGTTTCAGCGGTGTGATCTCGCAAAAACATTTGAAAATTACGGGGTAATTTACGGCTCTGAAAAGAGTTTTCTTAGGTGATATTACTGCAAATATTTCCTTTCTAACCCGACGATCCTGCCACTGTTTGATCCGCTGAGTATACTCCCAGCAGCCGTCTATAGGCAAACAAATCTACTTTCACTTGATACAGATGTAAACAAACGTAAACCGGTCTTTGCTGTGACTCATCCAAAAGAGAAGCAAAAATCGTTCAAACCGGTTGGTAATTTGGGCAATCCTTTTTTACTCTTCAATCTTCATTTTACAGTTCTTCATGAGGTTCCTCCGTACAGCGACCAAAATCTCATTAGGCTGCCAGGCATTTCCCAAAGCTTTCTAGCATACTATGGTTTCATATTCTACACTCAATACTATCCACTTCCGTTGACCCAACACACAAACAAGCAAAGAACCAGACATGCATCTGGTGAAACTCACGGACCGGTCTACCAGCTAAAACCGGATTCGCTTAGGATCGAATCAGGAAAACAGAATACGCGGTCGTCTGTTGCATTTAGAGGTGAATACTGAGTGACCTATCTTATCTCCAACATCCGCTTACATGTTGGGCGCCACTGAGCGAATCGTCGTTATGGCTGCTAATAATCCGTGCTGGATGTCCTGGTTCATACCGATCTGTTTCGGTGTGGAAGCCGCTACTGGTTTTTTGGCATTTCACATCACACATCACAGGATAGTGATGAGTTTTACTCACATATCTGGCCGCCGGTTATTCAGGTCGTAAGCGTTTCAACTGTCGATAGAAGTGACAGGTTGACGAGGTGTGATGTAGCAGGATTACATCCACCTGTTGGAGCAGGTGTAATCCAACTAGTCGAAGTCTCTGCTTCCTGTCTACTTAGGATAGCAAAAGACCGGCAATCGTCTGTTGAAACGAGTGAAACTTTGAGACGCTGACCAAAATCCAAGACCTAAAATAAAGTTAGTTCACAAATGCTTTCTACTGGATGGTCGTGGTTTCTTCTCCCCTCTCTTCGAAACCAGCCTTTTGTTTGTGCCAATTACGCGTTTTAATTATAGGCATGGTATTATTGTGAACAGTGAGTTACATGTGCTCAGCAGCCGCTCTTGCTGTTAAACAGGTTCAAGAACATGCGCCCTTTGTAAAAATGCATTACCGCTGACAGTTAACAATGGCCAGCATTTTGAGGATGTTCGCAGAAAACCCCGAATGTTGAGCACCGAATAAACATCACGTCTACCATTGTCACCCTGAGTATTTGGGACATTTTGTGCACATTCGGTCGACCGAGAAGCTCCCAAAAGTGGGTTGATCATCAGATACCAAAGCGTTGNTTTTGTGTGCATTGAAGCGCCTGTTTCTCGTGGGTACAGAGCAGTCAAACAAAACCTGAGGAACTATTTGGCGAGGGGAAGGAACATGATTGTCAGAGACGTTATTACTTAACAGTGAAGTAGAGTGCTTGTTTTTATTCTTGGTTTCAGGTGAAATTTTACTTTTCTCAATGGTTAGGACGCGCTTACTCAAAACTTACGCTGACAATCCCGGAGCGCAGGTAGCACACAGTTATCGAAAATAGGAATAGAAAACGAGAACAACGCACAATTGTTTAAGGGTAGTCACGTGAAAAGTGATCTATATCCCGTTTTCTGGCTGCGCGTAGCTTGCGGGGTGAGAAGAGCTTGTTCATTCTTCATGCAACGAAGCGTGTATAGGTTAAGACTTGAATCAGTCCATCAGTCGCTGATATCTCAGCTGAATATTATGATGGAACTGCCGGGGCAGGCAATTTCATATGCGATTTATTTAGAGATAATTCCGCCAAGCGGAACAGGGGAATGATCTACTTTATACATATACCCCTACTTGTAGCTATCATCCTGTCGTGGTGGCCAATCTTCAGTAGTGCATTGGCTGCGTGGCTAGAATTGGTTTTGCTAACTCTTGTCAGTATAGGACGAAAATTATCTCGCTAGAAAATTCGAAAAGCGTGCT